TCTAGGCTGACTCTACATAGGAATATTTCTGAGGAAGAGATTCCCTAAAGGTCCCAGGGGTTCCAGGCTTGGGAAGCAAGCAGGCTTGCTTTGTCATAAATAAAAGAAGGTGGGGGTGGGGAGATTTTCACATGAATTGCTGGATGTCATCACCCAGAGCAAACCTGGAAGCCATATGTTGAAGATGGCAGTCAGAGTCTTTGAATGATTGCAGATCAGAGGGCCTTCCCATCCCTATCAATTTCTAATTGGACTTTTGAACTTTGAATTAAATAAAAAAATAAACTTTATAGTGTTAGTCCTCTGAGATCTCAAGATTTATCTGTTATAGGATCTAGCAATACCTTACCTATTGATAGAAACTGAGGTTAGATGTGGTTATAACAAAAACCTAAAATCTGTTTCTTTGGCCTACCAGCTGAACAGTGAATGGTGATGAAATGAAAATCAAAGGCTACAAAGCTAGAGCTCCAGGCTATGCCATGCAAATATTTAGTAAAAATGTCACCTCTGATGATTGATGTATTAGCTATCTATTGCTGAGTAACAAATCATTCCAGAAGTTTGTGGCTTAAAACAACAATAAGCATTTATCATCTCTCACAGTTTCTGTGGGTCAGGAATTCTGGGGTAGCTTGGGATCTCTCATGAGGTTGCAGTCAGCTATTGACAGGGCCTGCAGTTGGGGTGGTAGGACCGACTCACTCACATGGTTACATGACTCGCAAGTTAGCCCTGCCAGGTCCAGTTGCTCTTGGGTCTGCTTGAGGGTCTCTTGAGCTGGTGGCTGCTTTCCCCTAGAGCAAGTTATCCAAGAGATCAAGGCAAAAGCTTCCAGGTCTTTTATGATCGAACCTTAGAAGTCACATACCATTACTTCCATCATATTTTATTGGTCACTTTCCCTCAGACTGTTCCAACTCCTGTGGAAAGAATGAACTAGCAAGGAGGAGGGTTTGAGGTAAAGACATCAACTGTGGCTCCTTTTTCTTTGTTTTAATGATTTCATTAAGCAGGATTTGAATAGATGGTAACTATAATGCTAATTCCATATGGCTGTGCAATTGCCACCATGAGGGAAGCCCTTAGCCAAGGACAATGTCTGGTCATGACTCCTTGGGCCAGGACAGAGTTTTGAGAGGCTTTCACCCCTCGCCGCCCCCCCCCCCCCCACCAGCTTCCCTTTCTCTAACACTCAGCTTTCCTGAAAAATGTTCAGGTTTTCTAATTCATCCAGGTCTTCCAGGTCTATTTTTCTACCTTTCTCACTTGCTACAGTTATCATCTCTACACTGGCTGGACCTATAGATGGAAGAAAGATCAAGGCATCTCCAGAATTGAATTAGATTAATAAAACCAACAGAAAATGGATGAGATCAAACAAATGTAAGTAAGCTGAACCCACAGAATATAATGTGACCCAAAAATCCTCAATCACGTCTTTAAGGCAGACACAATGACAAGGGGTATTCTTACAGCATTACAACAAATATGAACAACTCTAATGTAGCTCAGATCAGAACTTCAACTTTCTCCAACTTTTTTTTTCATGGTGGTGTCAGACTGAAGCCATAATTTCTAGGAAACTGTATTATTCTTGAATTGCATACTAATTGTCTTCCCTTTAAATATTTTTTAGTTACTCACTTATCCAGTAATCAAAGACCCTTCTTCTTGACTTTTTAAAAATCCTGTTGAGCTAATTACTGTGTCTAGTTAGGTTCCACACATATACTGAGACAGATGAGTAAGAGACAAGGAAAATAACAAGAAAGAGATAGCTGACAACTTAGAGAAAACAAACAGTGGACACCAAAAGTAAAAGAATAGCATAATTTACCAAAGTAAAAGAATAGCATAATTTCAAAAGCTATTTACTTAAAGAACAAAAGTAAGCTTAAAATCTGTTTTGTGTGCTCAAAAATTTTAAAGAAAACATGGACTCTGTAAAGCAATAAATGAAACAGAAGATAATAAGATAGTAGACTGAGTTGGAAAAGGAGCTGGCAAAGCCACAGCAGAATTTAAGAATAAAGAACAAAATTAGCAACACATAAACAAATAAATAACAATAAGAATAAAGAACAATAAATAACAATAACAATAAATACAAACAATAACAATAAATAACAATAAGAATAAAGAACAAAATTAGCAACACTGTAAAGAATCACAACAGCAGGAAGTCTCCCAGAATGCCAAGAGGAGGAACAAAGGCATGAAAATTATCACAGAGGAGATAATAGACATGGAGAGAAGGCCATAGAAATCCAACACATAAATATGGATCCTCCTGAAAGACAGTCAGGACAAGAGAACCATAAGCATCAAAGATCTAATGGGAGAAAGCTTCCTTAGAAAGTCCAATAAAAGACCTGAAATCAGGGGTACCTGGGTGGCTCAGTTGGTTGAACCACTACCTTCGGCTCAGGTCATGATCCCAGATTCCTGGGATCAAGTCCCACATTGGGCTCCCAGCTCAGCGGGGAGCCTGCTTCTCCCTCTTACCCTCTCCCTTCTCATGCTGTTTCTCTCTCTCAAATAAATAAACAAATAAAATTAAAAAAAAAAAAGACCTGAAATCATAAATTGGAAGGAATTCATCATGTCCCAGGGGAAAAAAATCTATAGAAATTTTGATTTGCAAGTAGAAAGACATAATCCTACAAATTTACAAATATAAGAAAACGGCCCATGATATTGTTTGTGTACTGCTAATGCACAGTTATGTTTTCACCTTCTTGTCCAGTTGTGAACATAGAGTAAGATCCTATGCTGCGCATAGGGGGCGAGGCTTTCTGTGAAGAAAATGGATATTTCAATGTCAAATCCTGAAAAGAAAAAGATTCTAGGATGAAAAAAGAAATAGGAAGAAGAGGGAACTCCTTTCTCTGTCTAAGCCTCATTCTCCTAGTCCTGGAATCCAATGAGTACCAATGTGCTCAATATGCTTCCAAAAGAAACAGAACAATTGTGTCTGCCATATAGAGGCAAGTCAGGGACTAAGTTAGGGAGTTAATGCATTAGTACATGTCAAGATCTAAGAATAGTATCTGGCACATAGTAAGCACTTGGTAAGTATTAACTATTATCACCATCATAAATATTATTCTATGTGATATAATAACTGCCATAGTCTTACAACATATGACTAGCAAAGTTTTATTATTAAATGCTGTACCTTAGACTCAGCTGGAGTACAGAGATTTAAGGGAAGGGTTTGTGCACTTGGTCTGGAGGGGTTAAGAGGAGAGACCTCCTTTCCTCTCAGAGGCCATTGTTGGTTATGGGGATTGGTAATAGCTCTAATGGGAAAGAGAAGTAAAGGTGAGGACAAAAGAGCAAGAACTCATGGCTCTCAGCTTCAGCCGTCCCTCCCAGTGATTTGAGAGGTGAGTCAACTGGACATAAATCTAGTCTGAAGTTTTCTAGATAAATTCTGCAATCAGAAGCAAGGGGTAGTAGTTCTTTGGGTCACCAAGACCTGTCCTTGACCTGGACACAGGTGTTACAGTAGGGAAAATCCTGAATGATGCCATTCAAAGATTTGCACAGGGCTGGGCCCATTGGACTGCATGCCTTTCTCTGCTATGCCAAGTTCACTGAGACCCTGATCCCCACCATGCATCCCAGTAAGCCACCAAGGTAAACTGTTTGCCTTGATATGCTCTCCCAGAATTCTGCACTATCACACAGCCTTGAATCTCAGTTAGATGAAATTCTAATTCATCATGTAGCATCTGTGTGAGCATCTACCTGCATCCCTGATAGAGGTAGCCAGTTCTCTGGTTTGATTCCTCCCATAGTAGGGCTACCTCTATGGCTTCCTAGCCTTCTGGATATCTGACAGGTAGTTTGGGCTGCTTAGTATGGCAGAGTTTAATTCCAAGAAAGAGAGACACCTTCTCTTGTGTGTAATAAATTTGTGAGTCTCAGTTACTCAGATTGCAGTGGTCTAAACAATCAGGTCCTCAATGCCAGGTGCACTCAAGGCTGTGCTTCCGGTATGGACTACATTGGCTCCCATAGTGGGTCATTGCCCTCAGATGGAGCCAGCTTCTAGTGCTATGAGACTACAGGAACTACAGGACTAGCTAGAGTCCTAGTGCAAAAGGAAGCTTCACAGCAGTGCATTAAACCTTCACGAAATGAGTATTGAATGGATGAAGTAGTGATTCAGTCTATATTTGAGCAACTCCAAGGGAGAGGGACTACTTCCTAAAATAATTCATCTTCAGACCCTTAAAGAATTATTCCATGTTTTGAATTAAATCTAGCTTCATTTAACTTCCAGTCCTTTGTCTTACATATATTTCCAGGGGCCATATCAATTCCACCCATTCTTTCACACAAAGATAGCTATCATGTTCCTGAGTCTCCTTACTTCAGTTCCTCCCATCGGTCCTCATCTAGTGGCTCACCTCCGAGCATGCTACAATACATCTCTGTGCCTCTTAAAGTGTGGTACAAAAAGTGCAGTACTCCAGGTGTGGGCTGATGGGTACCAAGTTCAATGAGATTATCACTCTCTTGTGATGGTGTGCTTTTTGTTGTTGTTGTTATCACATCATAAATTTACTTGTTTAGCTACATTTGCTAAAAATAATCATCTGCCTTTCCACTCTTCCTCACCTGTAATTAAGTAGTTGTTTGTGTAGCCAAGTATAAGTAGTAACATTTAAAACACAATGCCTGAATTATAGTCTAGCTCATTATAATCATTAACTTCATCTTATTAGCCATGACCATCACAAAATGGAATTACCACTTAAAATAAGATATTAGGTCAGGCACCACCATCTTCGGCCTCAGAAATGAAATGCTACCTCGCATTACATCAGCTCTGGGACTTTCAGACCACCTAATTGTACCCCGCCCCTTTTAGCCAGGTCATCTCTAGCTAAGCCACGCCCCCAGAGCGTCCTCTCCTTGGCCCCGCCTCCGGGGCCTCTGCTGCCGGGAGCCTCGCGTCCGCCCCGCCCACTCCCAGCCCGGGGCGGGAAGCACTAGATATTGCCGCGGATTGGCTGACTGGGGCGCAGCTTAATGGCGTCGGGCTGGCTAGCCGCGGTCCCGGCGGCGGCCCCTGGGCGAAGGCCGCCTTTGTGAAAGGGCCTCTGGCCCGAGCTTGCTGTGGCAACAGGGAGTGGAAATTGGAGGCAGGAGCCTTCCTTGCACTGCGCCATGAGTTTCTTGATCGACTCCAGCATCATGATTACCTCTCAGGTGAGCTATTGCCTCCCACCCCGGGACCCCTCAGCCACTCTTTCGTGAATTGTCTTCTCGGGGTTTCAGTGATGCCGGCTGGCCAGGATCTCGCTGTCCTCGTCAGCCGCCTGGACCTGCCTCCCAGAGCTCGGGGAGAGGGTAAGATTTGCTCAGCCCTCATTGTGGGAAGGCGTCCTGCGGCCGTCCGCGCCCCCACCCAGCCTCTGTCTACCCACTCTCGTCCACTTTTGGAGGGAATCACGCGGCCTCAATGCTCAGAGCCCGAGCCGCGAGAAAAGAGCGGTCCCCAACGCGCCCCGAAGCTTCTGGACTGCGCCTCTGACCCATGGCTCGGGGAAGAGAGTGGTTCCGGGCGCGGAATACGCAGCTCGCCAATGGGAGCTGGCTCCTGGGGACACGTGGGGACCTTTCTGGTTAGTTGTCAAATCCTGAATCCCCGTTCGCAGGAATTAGTCGTGGTCAGCTCAGAGACCTTAAAAGTAGTCTAAGGTTTGGTTTGTGTACCAACACCTCAACCTTTAATCCTCTTTCTGCTGCCCACGCTCTTCGGATCTTTTTCTTCACCCTCCTTTACCCGTTGGGCACCTTCATTCATTCGCACAGTCAGCGGACTTTTATCGACCATTTTATAAAAACGCCGAGGGTACAAACCTAAATAAACACTAATTCCTTATTCTGTGCAAGCTATGTCTAGGAAGCCTCTTGCTTTTTTTTAATTTAAATTCAATTAATTAACATATAGTGTATTATTAGTTTCAGAGGTAGAGTTTAGTGATTCATCAGTTGCATATAACACCCAGTGCTCATCACCAGTGCCCTCCTTAATGCCCATCACCCAGTTACCTCCCTCCAGGAACCCTCAGTTTGTTTCCTATAGTTAAGGGTCTCTTGTGGTTTGTTTCCCTCTCTGATTTCGTCTTATTTTATTTTTACTACCCTTCCCCTGTGATCCTCTATTTTGTTTCTTAAATTCCACGTATGAGTGAAATCATATAATTGTCTTTCTCTGATTGACTTATTTTGCTTAGCATAATACCCTCTAATTCCGTCCAGGTCATTGCAAATGGTAAGATTTCATTTTTTTGATGGCTGAGTAATATTCCTGTACACACACACACACACACACACCACATCTTTATCCATTCATCTGTGGATGGACATCTGGGCTCTTTCCATAGTTTGGCTATTGCAGACATTGCTGCTATAAACACTGGGTGCAGATTACTATGTTTTTATCCTTTGGATAAATACCTAGTAGTGCCATTGCTGGGTGGTAGGGTGGAAGCCACTTGCTTTTACCAGCTTTCATTCGTTCAGCTACTCTGTTTTCTTCATAGCATTTATCGTAGTACTGATATTTATGTATTTATGAATTTATTTTTTGAGGTCCTGTTTTTTTTATTATGTTAATCACCATACATTACATCATTAGTTTTTGATGTAGTGTTCCATGATTCATTGTTTGCATATAACACCCAGTGCTCCATGCAGAACGTGCCCTCTTTAATACCCATCACCAGGCTAACCCATCCTCCCACTCCCTCCCCTCTAGAACCCTCAGTTTGTTTTTCAGAGTCCATAGTCTCTCATGGTTCGTCTCCCCTTCCGATTTCCCCCCCTTCATTCTTCCCCTCTTGCTATCTTCTTCTTCTTCTTTTTTTTTTTTAACATATAATGTATTATTTGTTTCAGACGTACAGATCTGTGATTCAACAGTCTTGCACAATTCACAGCGCTCACCATAGCACTGAGGTCCTGTTTTGTCCAGGCCTTATCACCCCCGCCTTTAAGTACAAGTACTAAACACAATTATTTGCTGGCCAACTGTTACTATTTGTAGAAGCTCAGACTATCTAATTATTGATTCCCCCCCTCATTTACCCAGTAGTTTAGAGTATATTTCAAGTGGCAAATGACAGAAACAGTTCCTTTTGAGGTTTTAAATGAAACTAAATCTTTGATCCCGTTTTCATATTCCTTCATCCTAATGCTTCTGTCTTTGGAACAGAGCACTATCCATTGTCTCTTGAAAAACTTTAATTACAACATTTTAGAAAATATGAAACAAGGAATACTCTAATAAGATAACTTTTAAAATTTACCATCCTTTATATAGTTTTCATAATTGTTTTTATTGGCTGCATAATATTCAAATGTATTAACACAAAAAAATCTAGACACGTAATTCTCTTGTTTTTCTAACTTTTCTTAAGCTTTTCTAATTTTTCTAAGGCTAATTGCCTTTTGTGACAATTCAGGTTTGTTTTTAGCCCTACTACCAACTCAAGAAAAATGACAATATTTCAGTAGCATTTTTTTTTTTTACCCAATTTTTAAAAAAGAATGTGGGTGAGGAACTTGCATTGTAGCCTCTAAGATTTTTAACACTGATATAATAAGTTGAAGCAAGAAAGTAGCTTTCTGATTTTTTTTACATTATATAATACTTTAACTTTCACACAGGCATTCACATGCAATATTAAATACTTAATGCTCTTTACAAATGAGGAACTAAGACCCAAAGAATCATTTGTGTGGACTGTTCTGTGACCATATATTTATGTGGCTACTTCATGATTATTTTGGTATCAGTAAAAATGTCACTTTAGAGAGGTTTGTCCTGACTCCCTACCCCTGTCACAGTAGCACCCATTTCAGCCACCTTCAATCCCATTTTCCTGTTTTATTTTCTTCTTAACCTCCATCACTATTATTTGTGTCTGTTAGATGTAAACTTCATGAGGTCCAGATTATTCTTATTCTCTGCTGTATTCCCCAGTATCTAAATCAGCTGCTGGTAACAGGGAAGCCTAGTAAATATTAAGTAAATAGAGATATAATTATGTTAGAAACCCCTTTTCCTCATTTTTCCTGTTTTATATGAACTGAAAGGTTTTAAATGAAGTATGTGGGGCGCCTGGCTGGCTCAATCGGTAGAGCATGCATCTCTTGATCTTGGGGTCTTGAGTTTGAGCCCCATGTTAGGCATGGAGCCTACTTAAAGAAATAAAATTAATTAAATAAATAACTATTTCAGACTTCATTTTATTTATTTTTCTTGAAATAATCAGCTGTTTGTTCCATTCCCCTCATAATTTCTCTGAATCTTTATCACTGTCCTCAAGGCCCCCTTTCCCATCCTCATCACTTAAACTCTTAGCAGATAACCTTGCCTCCTGCTGTATCAATAAAAGTGAAGACAAAAGATACAATCTCCTTCCACATCCTGGGTCTTAATCTAAGCAGTTATGTGTGTCTACAACCGTTCCCAGCCGCCTTCCTCCCATGTCAGCAAAGAAAGTGCCCCTTACCCCTTCTTAAGGTCATCCTCTCTACCTGTGCCTTTGATCTTAGACCAGCTTATTATAGAGTGCTTAAAAGCACAAGCTTTGGAATCAGCCATACAGACTTCAGATTTGATCCTGATTTTGACAATTACTATAAATGAATCAACTTCTCTAAACCTCAGCTTTCTCTGCAGTGAGGATAATCACACATACTTTAGGTTTTTATGATTTAATGAGATTACAGTTCTAAGTACTTAGAGTTCCTGGAATATAGTAAATGGTCAATAAAGGTTAGTTGCTGCTAATCATAGTAAATTATTAACTTTGTCAGTTTGGTTTCCCTGTAAGCATCTTTGCCACAAGTATTTTTGCCACATAACTAATTGGCCATAAGGCAACTTTATGTAAAAGATAAACTCACCAAAAATAAAATGGGACATTCATTTAAAAGGACACAATGAAATGTGAAAAATGAATAACAAAATTTAAAAGACTTTATTGTGAAATACAAAACATTTGAATACATTCAAAATATGTAGTGTAGATTCATGGCAATACTATGCAAATAAAATGATTTCATTTTGTGGATTGTACCTAAGCACTTGTCTTCAGTCTTTCATTCATAGCATTATACATTTTTTTGTTTGTTTGCTTGTTGAATTGCTCCTCATTTGGTATCACATTTTTTTCTTTTTTCCCTAAAATTTCTTCCTTCATTAAGAGAAGTATCATTTCCCAAATACTGGGATGTATATTTGTAACTGATGTTTGCATTGCACTGTGAAAGCCTTCTACAATGTTGTTTGTTCTTGGTGCATTGTCACATGCCCGTTGATCGATTGATCAAAGTTCTGTGGTCAGTGTGGGTACAAAACTGTGCCACGGTATAGACCATTATGAGGGCTAAGATTTATATAATATAAAATGGAGGTACTGTATGGATGGAGAAGTGAAACCAAACTGTCAACTAGTTATTTTTTCTTTTACAGCAAAATTGCCTTATGGCAAATTAGTTATACAGCAAAAATACCAGACACGACAGCTCCTCTTCTGGTCTCCCATCGGTTCCTTCTCATATGTGTTCACCACCCCCTTACTCTACTACTTTCTTCCCCTCAGCCTATAAACTTTCCCTTTTCCCCACATCCTTCTCTAGGCTACTCTCTAATGTTTTCTCTTTTTCATTCTTTTTTAAACAATTTTTTTTGTTTTGTTTTTAATTGAAGTATAGTTGATACACAAAGTTACATTAGTTTGAGGTCTACAAAATAGTACATGGTCATCCACCAGTCTTGTGAGTTACCCTGTGCTCACCACTAGTGTAACTACCATCTGTCACCATACAATGCTATTACAATACCACTGGCTATACTCCCTAGCTTGTATCTCTATCCCTGTGACGTTCATTCCATAACTGGAAGCCTGTATCTCCCACTCCCCTTCACCCATTCTGTCCATCCCCCCACTCCCTCCTCTCTGGCAACCATCCTTCTCTGCATTTATGTGTCTGTTTCCGGTTTTTGTTTGTTTTGTTTTTTAGATTCCACATATAAGTGAAATCGTGTTATTTGTCTTTCTCGTCTGATTTAATTTCACTTAGCATAATACCCCCTAGGTCCATCCATGTTGTCTCAAATGTCAAGATCGCATCCTTTTTATGGCTATATAATATTCCATCATGTGCATGTGCACGTTTGTGTGTGTGTACGCACACCATATCTTCCTCATCCATTCATCTATCTATGGATCCTTGGGTTGCTTCCATATCTTGGCTCTTGCAAATATGCTGCAATAAACATAAGGGTGCATATATCTTTGCGAATTAGTGTTTTTGTTTTTAATATTTTGAGGAACCTCCATACTGTTTTCCGTAGTGGCTACACCAGTTTGCATTCCCACCAATAGTGCCCAAGGGTTCCTTTTCCTCCACATCTTTGCCATCACTTTTTATTTCTTGTCTTTTTAATAGTAGCCATTCTTACAGGTATAAGGTGATATCTCATTGTGATTTTAATTTGCATTTCCCTGGTGATTAGTGATGTTGAGCATCTTTTCATGAGCCTGTTGGCCATCTGTATAACTTCTTTGGAAAAATGTTCATTCAGGTCTTTTGCCCATTTTCAATTGGAATATTTGTCTTTTGGTCGTTGAGTTGTATAAATTCCTTATATATTTTGGATATTAGCCCCTTATTGGATATATCATTTGCAAATATCTGCTCCCGTTCAGTAAGTTGTCTTTTTGTTTTGTTGAGGGTTTCCTTTGCTGTGCAAAAGCTTTTTTTGGTATGGTCCCAATAGTTTTTGTTGTTTGGTTTTTTTTTAAGATTTTATTTATTTATTTTTAGAGAGCGAGTGAGTGAGAGTGAGGGGAGGGGCAGAGGAAGAGAGAAAGAATCTCAAGCTGACTCCATGCTGAGCACAGAGCCCAACACAGGGCTTGATCCCATGACCCTGAGATCATGACCTAAGCGGAAACCGAGATTCAGATGCTCAACCAACTGACCCACCCAGGCATCCCCCCAGTAGTTTATTTTTGCTTTTGTTTCCCTTGCCTGAAGAGACCTATCTAGATAAATGTTGCTAAGGCCAATGTCAAAGAGATTACTGCCTGTGTTTTCTTCTCGTTTTATAGTCTCAGGTCTCCAATTTAGGTTTTTAATCTTGAGTTTATTTTTGTGCAGGGTGTAAGAAAATGGTCCGGTTTCATTCTTTGGCATGTGGCTGCCCAGTTTTCCCAGCACCATTTATTGAAGAGACTGGCTTTTCCCCACTGTATATTCTTGCCTCCTGTGTCATAGATTAATTGACCATGTAAACTAGGGATTATTTCAGGGCTCTCTATTCTGTTCCATTGATCTATATGTCTGTTTTTGTACCAGTACCATACTGTTTAGATTACTACAGCTCTGTAGTATATCTTGAAATCCAGCAGTGTGATACCTCTAGCTTTGTTTTTCTTTCTCAAGATTGCTTTGGCTATTCAGTGTCTTTTGTGATTCCATACAAATTTTAGTAATATTCTAGTTTTGTTGAAAAATGCTGTTGGTATTTCTAATTCTTGGCTCTCCCTAGGTTAATTTGTGTTTATTGTCTCTATTGCCTTACCCTTTTCACCTTCAGCCCACCTGTGGTCTGGTTCCTGCCTCCATTTCAGTATTCACTGTTTTCCTTAAGATTAGCATTGACCTCCAAGTTACTAAATCCTTTAAACAATTTTCAGTCCTGGTTTTATTGCCCCTCTGCTTCAATTAACACTCCTTCCAACTATTCCCTTGGTTTCAGGATACCACCCTCTCCTGGGTCTATTCTCTGTCCTCTCCTTCTCTGTCTCCTTCCTGCTCTGTTCTTCCCATTCCTACCCTCTACTGTTTTCTTCTTGCCATATTGCTCTTCTCACTGTACATGCTACTCGTGGGTGATCTCACGTACTTTGGTGGTTTCAACTCTTGATTGTATCTGAGCTCTGCCTTCATAATGTCTTTTGTGTTGACCTGGATGGCCCTCAGGCACTTAGCACATCTAAAAGTGAACTCCTCTTTTAATCTCCCAGCCTAGTTCCCAGACCTTTATCTTTATCCAATATTCTTCATGTAAATTGGGTGGCCTCGCTGTTCGTCTTGTATTCCAGACAAGTCAGGACTTGATTCCTCCCTGCTGATTTAACCTTCTAAGTACTCAAATCTTTTGCCTCCTCTCCAGCCACCAGTGTCTTAATTGAGGCCTTTATCATCTATCATCTGGACTGCCGCAGCAACCTCCTGTACAGTTTCTCTTTCTGCAGTGTTGTTTCCTTCAGATGCATCTTCTACATGGCCACCATATTCTCCATATAGAACAAACCTGGCCATGTCTTTTCCCTACTAAAATATGACTTATCACCTACAGACTGCAGGCTCCGTAGGGTGGCCTTCGGGCCTCTGAGTTGTTGGTCTCCTGCTCCTCTCTAAGCCTCATTTTTAACCACTTCCTTCTCGAAATTTTAGCTTCCAGCAGACCGAACCATGTGTTGTATATACCCATGTATGTTCCTAATATACTCCCGTGTAGATACCATGCAGTGTCTTAGTTCTGTGCCTATACTCATGTACTTTGCTACCTGGAAAGAAAGCCAGGTCTTCCTACCCCCATCACCTGTCTTTTACCTACCTGCTGCTCTTTTATCCTTGAAGAGAGTAGTTCTTTAATATTTTAGGGGTGGTGGAAACCTTTGAGTGTGTGATAAATACCTTAGAACCTCTCTCTAGAAAAATACATATAGGGCGCCTGGGTGGCTCAGTTGGTTAAGTGACTGCCTTCGGCTCAGGTCATGATCCTGGAGTCCCTGAATCGAGTCCCGCATCGGGCTCCCTGCTCGGCAGGGAGTCTGCTTCTCCCTCTGACCCTCCCCCCTCTCATGTGCTCTCTCTCATTCTCTCTCTCTCAAATAAATAAATAAAATCTTTAAAAAAGAAAGAAAGAAAAATACATATAACCCCCAAATTTGCGCATGATATAAGATTGTAACCCCAAATTAAAATCTCCTTCAGCTAAGGTACTGTATTCTCCAGAAAATCCATCCTAACTCTCTACATATCTATTTGGTCTCCCTTTCCCCGTATTCTTTTACATTATGTACATATTTCTATTATTGCATGTCCCATGTGACAGTATAATTATTTAGTGTCTTCACCACTATACTTCAAGTTCCTTGAGGGTGGTAACTGTCTTACTCATCTTTGTATCCCCAGCACTTAGCACAGCACATATAAGTTATCAATAAAAATTGAGGTTGAGTGTTCCTTAAGAACAAACTTTCTTTGACTGTGGACCATTTACCTATTCAGCAAACATTAATGGAACGCCTGCCATGTGCCAGGCATTGTGCAGGGTGCTGAGAATACAAATTAACATTCAAACATCCTTGTCCTCACAGAGCTTACAATCTAATATCTATGAAAGTGTGTTTAAATTAGACATTACAAAACTGTGTGGCAAGTACTTTGGAAATACAGGATAGAATAGGATTATATAAAAAGATCAACATATCTTTGAGAGGTCAGAGAAGGCCTTTCAGAGGTAGTAATAATTAAGACCTGTAGGGATTAGAGAGAAGTTCCTATCAGAGGACAACGTCCATAGAGGTCTTGGTATGAAAGAAAGAATATTGTGTCTAAAGAACCATAGACAGTTCCATGTGGCTGAAAATATGAGTTTGGTGGGCAGGAAGGACACAACAAGAGGCTGAAGGAGTCTTCTAAACCATGCTCAAGAGTTTACGCTTCCTCCTAAAGTTCCTGGGAAGGCATAAAAGAATTTTATTCTTAAAGTTCTTAACAGAAGAAAAGAGGAATTATGGGGCACCTAGTTGGCTAACTTGGTAGAGCATCTGACTCTTGATCTCCAGGTGGTGAGTTGGAGACCCGCATAGGATATAGAGATTACTTTAAAAACAAAACAGAGCTGTTTAAAACAAAAAAGAAGAAAAGAGGAGTTGTGTCAGAGTGTGTGCATGTGTGTGTATAGAGAAGGTTCTGCTCACCAGTAAAAAACAAACAACCAGCTTTTAGAACACTGAACAGTGCTGTCATGTGGCTACCGTCTGATGCCGGCTTGAACCAAAACTGACAAAGTGGGATCCTGCAGTCTCTTGGCTTTACACTGAGATGGAAACCACTTTATATAAATTAGGCAGGATTGTGGAGAAGCTAAGAAAGCTCCATGAAAGAAAATACGTTAAAAAAAAAAAAAAAAAAAAAAAAAACAGTTTTTCTACCACTTTTTTTTTTTTAATTTTAACTCCTTTCCCATAAAGTTTTGTTTTTTTAAATACTTGCAAACAGGGATCTAATATAAGAAGCAAGTTTCACTGGCTCCTTTTTTGTTTGCTAGCTTCTCTAGCTAAAATGATAGTCATAAGATTGCAGGAAAAAATACATACTTTCATTTTTGCCTAACATAAACAATGTTCTAAAACATGGATAATTTCAAAAATTGAAGAGCATTCCTCTGATAGGAACTTCTCTCTAATCCCTACAGGTCTTAATTATTACTACCTCTGAAAGGCCTTCTCTGACCTCTCAAACATCTTTTCCCAGTGTTATGGACTTTAATAAGTAGATCTTGTCTTTAATCTCTGAAATAAGTTAATTGTCTGGTTAGCAGACCTTTTATCTTAAAATGGTCTGTACTGGGCATTTCTCAAAAGATTATATATATTGACATTTGATCGTTCTCCTTCAGATACTTTTCTTTGGATTTGGGTGGCTTTTCTTCATGCGCCAACTGTTTAAGGACTATGAGGTAAGAAGAGATCATTTTGGTTATACTGCTACATATGTATCTAGATTGTTTTAAAATGGGCAAGAAGGGGGTGGCCCAGTCCATTGAGCATCCAACTCTTGGTTTAAGCTCAAGTCATGATCTCAGGGTCAGGAAATCAAGCCCCCTGTTGGGCTTCGCACTCAGCATGGAGCCTGCCTGAGATTCTGTTTCTCCCTCTCCCTCTGCCCTTCTCCCCTCTTGTGCAAGTGTGCTCTCTCTCTAAAATAAATAGATCTTTTTTTTTTAAGATTTTATTTATTTATTTGACAGAGAGACAGTGAGAGAGGGAACACAAGCAGGGGGAGTGGGAGAGGGAGAAGCAGGCTTCCCGCTGAGCAGGGAGCCCAATGCGGGGCTCAATCCCAGGACCCTGGGATCATGACCTGAGCCAAAGGCAGACGCGTAACGACTGAGCCACCGAGGTGCCCCTAAAATAAATAGATCTTTAAAAATAAAATAAAATGGACAAGAAAAATGCCTCTGTTCAAGGTCATGTTCACTTCCAAGATAGGAAGTTTTAGCCAAATGAGTACTATATAATTATTAAATTGGAGAATATGATTAGGCTTAGTTGATTTAAAAAAAAAAAAAAAAAAAAAACAAGTCCTATGTAGCCCAGGAGCAAAACTGACATGCCTTAGTAATATCAGTATATAGAACAACAGCAGACAGTTATTTTTTGGAAGATAATTTAATTTACAGTGTCTCATAAATGTTCCCATTCATTTGGGTGTCTGACCTTCAGTGTTAATGACCTAAGTCATCCTAAGTTGATACCAAAATCTTAAGATTGATCTGGTTCTTAAGCCATGAGTTCATAGAAACACCAGCCTAGACTGGACATTTCCTAATTAATCCTCATTTAGTGATAAGCTCAATGGTTGTGGACTACTTTTAGATCATTTCTAGGATATTCACCATTAAACCTCTCCAAGGAGTTTGGTTTGTTGTCTGAAAGAGCCCAGGATTCTAGAGATTCTGCTCTGCTTGATACTTTAAGGCTTCCCAGGGGAAGTTCCAGAACTGGTCCAAAGGTCTGCAGAGTGTTGAAGAGACCCTTTTAGCACTAACCTATATATATGTATAAATCTATCCTTTTTATGTCGCTGTGCATCAGGAATTCTAAGTGCTCCTTCTCACCCTGTCACTTCATCTTGTGCTTTAAATTCTCCATCCACAAGAGGATGATGGTAATAGTGCCCCGTGATTTAGAAATACTACCTACTTCCAACTATTGTTAAGCTCCAGGCAAGTTGCTATTATAGCCCTGTTTCTAATGACTTGAGAATTTTTTCATTAAGTTTTCTGACTTGTGACCAGATGATTCATCCAATATTTCACGCAAGGAAATGACTTGTATTCTCTATTTGACTTTTAATAGGTACGTCAGTACGTGGTACAGGTGATCTTCTCTGTGACTTTTGCGTTCTCTTGCACCATGTTTGAGCTCATCATCTTTGAAATCTTAAAAGTATTGAACAGCAGGTGAGTACTAATTAGCTCTTCTCATGAAGAGAATTGTGTGATCAGGTGAAAGACTTACCTGAATTCCATAGCTGAAAAAATCCACCATGTGGTTAGTTTAGTCTCAGTAACTAAAAATCATAGCAAATATGGGTCCCAATCACCTAGTAACTGGTTTGACACAGATTGTGAAATAAGGGAAAAAAAAGAAGTGACCATTAGCTCTGAAGAGCTAATTGGGAATGAGGCTGTGAGAGCCTAGGTCCCAGGCTTCACTCCTAGAAGTTTTATTCTTCTCAGGCTACTCTTTGAATCCTACTAATGGCCCTTCACATTGTCGTGCTAATGAAAAAAAATCTCTACCTGAAAAGATCAGAATTCCTCAGAGTTAGTTATGTATGGGCTTCTCTGAAGTCTGAACTCCAGCTCTCACTAATTTAGGTTACCTTTGTTGATTTCACAGGTATGGTCAATTCTGATTGAACTTAGTCTTGTTTAAAGCATTTTTTAAAAGCAACTCCTATTCCCCTCCAAATAACAGACATGTTGTTTACTAGACAGCCTGTCCAAAATATTTCTTGCTTGTTAAACTGCAAGCTTGAGTTCTTTTAGACCATTGTTTGTGTTTAGAGTACATCAGCTATTCTATGTTGACTTTTGTAGTTTTTTATCACTGCATGGAAAAATCTTTTAGTAAAGTGGCATTTGACTCTGTAATCAGGAATCAATGCTGAGCTAAGCTATATAACTTGTTTCAGACTCCTGATACTTGAGACTTACAGAGAGACGTTGTTCTCAGATTCCTTTGAGAATCAGAGTTGATAATGTCTCTGGATAAATTAATAATTTGTAGTGTGATAAAACAAAGTATGTCCTGACTCTTATTTTAACTAGTTCTTTAATAATCCAGACCTTTTTTGGATGAGCAGGATACATATCCTATGACTATCAAGAATAAACAAGTGTTCTTTTACTTGCTAATTACAAATAATAAATCACAACCAGGAACTTTCACTGCTCTCTAACCAGAGGTCAGCAAGTCATTCTGTAAAGGGCCAGATAATAGACATTTTAGCCTTTGTAGTTTATACGGTTTCTATCACAACTACTCAGCTGTTAGAGAGTGAAAGCAGCCATAGGCGATGTATAAACAAATGGGTGTGGCTGTGTTCCAATAAAATGTCACTTATAAAAGAAACTTCAAGCTAAATTTATGATACACTGACACCAAGTTTCTAGAACTCTGTGGTGTGCATTTTCATAATAGTCAGCAGGCGTGGCCTACTTTTATACCTATCTTTTCCCATGTTTTTCCTTTCTTTTCCTACTTTCTTACAGTTTATTTCATCATCCTATATTTTATATATCCTCATAAGCCACTTAACCACTTAACTTTTTGAAACAAGGCCCAAGTGTAAGTTTAAAATCAGCAAATTCAAAAGACACTATCAAGAAAGTGAACAGATTCCCCAAGGATGGGAAAAAATTTTTGTAAATTACTTACCTGATAAGAGACGTTGATCTAGTATATATAAAGAACTCTTAATAGTTCAATAATAAAAAGACAACACATTGAAAACTGGATAAAGTATCTGACTAGGCATTCCTCCAAATAAGACACAGATGGCCAATAAGCACATGAAAAGATGCTCAGCATCATCAGCCATTTGCAGGGAAATGGCAATCAAAACCATGATGAGATACCACTTGACACCCAGCAGGATGGCTATAATCAAAAAGACAGTAACAAGTGTGGGCAAGGCTGTGGAGAATTTGGAACCCTCCTGTGCTACTGGGGAGAATGTAAAATGGTGCAACCACTCTGGGAAATAGTGGCAGTCCTCAAAAAATTAAATAGTTATCATATGACCCAGCAATTCCACTCCTGGGTACATACCTAAAGAGAAATGAAACATGTCCACACAAAAGTTTTCCCCAAATGTTCATAGCACCACTGTTTATAATAGCTTAAAAGTGAAACAGTCCAAATGTCCAGCAACTAATGAATGGATAAACAAAATGTGACATATCCATACAATTAAATGAATATTATTTAGCCATAAATAGGAATGAAGTACCTTGAAAACATTATGCTAAGTGAAAGAAACCAGACGTAAGATGACATGTAATGTCCAGAATAGGCAAATCCATAGAGACAGAAAGTAGATTGGTGGTTTCCTAGGGCTGGGACAGTTAAGAGAAAAGGAGAGCTAATGGAACAGTTTCACTGTGGAGTGATGAAATGTTTAAAATTATTGTGGTGATAGTTGCACAACTTTATGAATATACTAAAACCATTGAATTGTACACCTTAAATGGGTGAATTATAACTCAATAAAATTGTTATTTAAAGAAGTCCACGGTCAGGGGTTGGGCAAAATGGGTGAAGGGGAGTGGGAGATACAGGCTTCTAGTTATGGAATGCATAAGTCGTGGGAATAAAAGGCAAAGCATCAAAAAAAAAGTCCTAAAAATATTTTAATCAATTCATAAAATATAGTTTATAAGCAGTAATAAAAGTAGTCATGCAGATCAAATGTTTATATTGAAGATGCAAAAGAAATATTTAAGTCTTTCTAGCACATTACTATTTTTAGCAATTCCTATTAACATTTATTTTCTTTTAATTACGAGACTCCCAGTGGTACATGAAACAACAGTCATTTTCTACCAGTAATAGTATATGTTGATATGTTATTATACACTGCCTATGAATATAACTAGAGCATTAACATTCTCATTTGAATAAGTAAAATTCTTAGGAAGTTAGGATGTTCATATATACTTTTCAGAACTCTAATATATTCTTTAATCTCTATAAAGAAGCAAACAGTAACAGCCTACTTCACTTACTGGGTGGGATATATTCGGTATTGAGTTCAAAGAGTAAGAGATCTTTTAGAAGACTGAAGAGAATGAAAGTTGCTGCCTTTATCCCCTCCTAGTGATATTCTTTGATATTTATTTCAGTTCCCGTTATTTTCACTGGAAAATGAACCTGTGTGTAATCCTTCTGATCCTGGTTTTCATGGTGCCTTTTTACATTGGCTATTTTATTGTAAGCAACATCCGACTATGTGAGTATTTGTAAACGTGAGTATTTTACCCTCTCGTGTCAGCAGATAGATTGAGATGAGGATTTGTGGGGATTGAGGCTGTGGAGAGCTTCATTTCTACGTTACTTTCAGTAGCGACTGTTGTTTGGGGATGCCTCACACACAGCATCTTAAAAAGTTCGGCAGAAAATCAATGTTGAACGATTAGATAATTTGTGCTGCTACAGCTGTATTTCTGTTTCTACTATAATATCTCCCTTAACTCAACCCACATCTTAATTTCAGCCAAATTCCTCTTACAGTGATTAGGATGCTTTCTTTAAAAACTGTATTATTCCGGGCGCCTGGGTGGCTCAGTTGGTTAAGCGACTGCCTTCGGCTCAGGTCATGATCCTGGAGTCCCTGGATCGAGTCCCGCATCGGGCTCCCTGCTCGGCAGGGAGTCTGCTTCTCCCTCTGACCCTCCCCCCTCTCATGTGCTCTCTCTCATTCTCTCTCAAATAAATAAATAAAATCTTTAAAAAAAAAAACTGTATTATTCCATCACTCATTTGCCAAGTGAACAAGCCAGCCAAATATTAGTCAGTGTGATTCCATATCTGTAAGTAGAGCAAGCTCTTTAATATAGAACTATTTAACCTTACAGTCTTTCTCTTCCTTCCTAGTGCATAAACAGCGTCTGCTCTTCTCCTGTCTCCTATGGTTGACCTTCATGTACTTCTTCTGGAAACTAGGAGATCCATTTCCCATTCTCAGCCCAAAACATGGTGAGTGTATATATGGTGGGGAGGGGGAAATAACTGTTTATCATTTTCTAATTTTGAAAAACAACTATTTTAAAACTTCTGATTGTGGGAAATATAGCAAGTTATTTCTCTAAAAACAGTCTGGTTTTAAACTGAATTTCCCTTCATCCTAGGAAATATCAAATACTGGCTTTGAAAACTACTTCTGTGATTTTAGAGCAGGAGTTTTTGACCTTAGGTTAGTGAATGAACTTCAAGAGAGTAAGGGGTGGAGAAGGTTGTCTTTAAATTTAAAATTCCTGATATTGTATGTAGAATTATGGGAAAATATTTGTATGTGTATTTGGAGCTAAAAGTATCCACAAGCTTTCATTAGATTCCCAAAGGGGTCAAATGACCGAAAAGATAAATAACCACTGCTCAAGTAATGATAAATATTGTCTTTAGGGACTATACGTATTTTAGGAAAGAGCAGTGACATAAAACATTCAAAATAAGTAGATAAAGAAAAGCTTTCTAGGAATCAGTGTCTCTCCTTACACAAAAAAGTTCATTTTAAATACAAGAGCAGGGGCACCTGGCCAGCTCAGTTGGTAGAGCATGCAACTCCTGATCTTGGGGTCATGAGTTCAAATCCCATGTTGGGTATAGAGATTACGTAAATAAATAAAAACTTTAAAAAAATCTTTAAATACAAGAGCGATCATAGAGCCCTAATTTCTGTGCTAAAAACCGTGAACAATAATCTGTCAGCTAAAAGTCCTTCAGAACTACTTCAGAAATATATATATGAACATAGATATATATGCCACGTGTAATGAATATATTGGCACTTTGATACTGGAAGTTTTAAAAAAAATACACATCCATTCATTTCACTCTCCTGCTGTATCAGGATTCTTATAGCAGAAAACAGAATCTGCTCTAACTAATTTAAAGCAGAAAGTGATTTATTCCAGGGTATTAGGGAGTTTATAGAATTTTTAGGAAAGCAGGCTGTTAAACTTAAATGCTGTGTAGTGAAGAGTAACATTCAATCATAACACAGTAGTCAACTGGAGAAAACCCCACTGAAGTTGTCACTGCCACGGGAGACCTGTGACATCAGGGATCAGATAGTAGGACTGCTTCAGTGGCCACAGTCCCAAGTGCTGTTCACACTCCCATGTTATTCACTTCTGCATTTGAGGTCTCACATGGGCATTGAATTTGATACAACCTAGGTGCATTCAGAACCTTAGTTTCAAGGAAATCTGGGAAAGAATATTTGGCTTTCCAGATTGTGCAATACAAGAAGACATGCTAGAAAGGCATTGGAATGAATGTTGAGTAAACCAGTGTCTAGAATCTACCATGAATCCATCTGTGTCTATTCCTTGCCTGTAGCAGGGATCTGGAGGGAGGTTATGAGATTATGCTGCAGGAGGATCAGAGAAAATGCACTATTTTAAAAAGCATATGCAGGGTCACCTGGGTGGCTCAGTCGGTTAAGTGTCTGCCTTCAGCTCAGGTCATGATGTCAGGGTCCTGGGATCGAGCCCTGCATCGGGCTCCCTGCTCAGCGGGGAGTCTACTTCTCCCACTGCCCCTCACTCCCTCCCCTGCTTGTTCACATGTGCGCTCTCTCTCTCTCTCATATAAATAAATAAAATCTTTTAAAAAATAAATAAATCACATATGCAATATCCTAACTATTTTTAAATTAGAAATAGCTACTTTGAAATTTCAGATAACATTTAAGAAGGTCAAAAAAGTTAAAACACTAGGCTACCAAAAACATTCAAACTCAGCATGGTGTACAAGACCTTCCGTGGCCTGACTACTGCTGTCTTTCTCTGTGTCTCTCCTCCAGTACTACTGAATTACCTAAAGTTTCTAGAGCTATTCTGTCAGTCAGGACATTCCTTCACCTCTTGTTTATCTAGAAAATGCCTATTCTTGCAATATTCAGCTCTTGCCAATTCCAGATTTTTCTGGCCATCATTAGAAGATTTTTTTTTTTAAGATTTTATTTATTTATTTGAGAGAGAATGAGAGACAGAGAGCACGAGAGGGAAGAGAGTCAGAGGGAGAAGCAGACCCCCCGCTGAGCAGGGAGCCCGATATGGGGCTCGATCCCGGGACTCCAGGATCACAACCCGAGCTGAAGGCAGTCGCTTAACCAACTGAGCCACCCAGGAGCCCCATCATTAGAAGATATTAATTGCTCCCACATCAGTGTACTTATGTCACCTATAATGATTATAATTACTTGCGACCTTTTCTGACTTCCTCATTAACTCACGAGCTCCCTGAAAACCCTAGGGTCAAAAACTACATCTTACTTGTCTATTCCCAGTGTCTATAGCATGGAACCTAGCACATAAATGTTTAATGCATGTTTATTGAATCAGTGAATAAAAAAACAATTTCAGTCTCTCGAAGGTAGTAGATGAGTTTAAAAATGTAACACTCAGAATAGGAATTTAGAATTTGCTAATATCATTAGCATGCACATGTCCATATAGGGAAAGATATGGACTACAGAGGCCCTGACAATATAGCTCTCATATAAACTATTTCAAATAAGCCCAAGAGAGACAAATTTGTGGTATCAGAAACGAGGGACAAGAATTATAAAAGGACCCCAAGGCTGCTTACAATGCTAGCACAAGCTCACATGCAGCCAAAGACAAGACTGGTGTCTGTCTCCCGCTTGCTCCTTGTGAGCAGTCAGTTCACATGACCAGTGGAGCCAGACCGAGCCTGAGGGAAGATGAAGACCATCACATCTTTTGTATCTTCATCCTTTTTTCAAAATTCTGTAGAGATATCCTAAAGAAGACACTGAGGGGGAAGACCTAGGAAATAGTTTCAGTTTTAGTCTTTCCTTTGTGCTCTAGGAAATAAGCATTTTGTTTTTATGTCCGGTGTCTAATTCATTTGACTAAGAGAAGTAAGTAGGAAGAAAAGTTTAGGCAATGGATGAGAAGCAGCCAGGCTTACCCTGCCATCTTAGAGCTTTTCTAGGACTGTCCCAACGACCAGTATGATTTATTACTGTGGAGACCACAAAAAGACTGTAAGACCCAATCCTTACCTATAACAAAAAGATGTCTATGAAAGTACTCCTTGTGCAGTGCTTGAACCGAGGAAGGTTGGAAGGCATTCCCTAGTTTGGGAAAGAGTAAGGGAGGCTAAGAAAGTCTGTGAAGCACACAAAAAAATAATAAAAATACAGGAATTTGTGTGAGCAAATGGCAACAGTGAGATGGTCTCCTGCATGCCACTTCATGCATCGGACTTTCCACTTATTACTAGAAAACAAGGAACAATTGACCTTAACTTCATGGAAATGCTAGGATTACATAGATAGTATCTTCAAAGTACTTTAGACCGGGAAAAGATATTTAATAAAGGGACACCACCTTAAAGGGAATAAAAGTATAGAGGGGACATTTTTCTAGTTTTTTATATTTAATAACCTATATTAATCCCTTTGATTTTTTTTGTTGTTACTGGGTAATTGTAGACCTACAGTCAATAAACATTTGCTGAACACCTTCCATGTGCCAGGCAGTAAGAAAAACAAAGAGCAATAAGACGTGATTCCTTCCTATAAAGAGGATGTAAAGAGGTATGTGGGAAGTAGAATCAACAGAATTTGGATGAGGATTTAGTCATTCATAAAACATTCCACAAATATTTTTTGAACACCTAGTTTTATTTTAAGTGCTGGAGATACAACCATGAACAAAAGAAACTTGGTTTCTGCCCTCCTGAAACTTACCCTCTGGCAGGAAGGACTGAACAGTAAAAATATAAACAAATAATTGCCAATTATGATCATTGTCAAGGAGCAAACAGGTTACTGTGGTAGACGACAATGCAGATAAGGATGTCAAATTAGATGCGAGTGGTTAGAGTCAGCCTTTATGAGGAAGTATTTAAGCTGAGATTTAAAGGACAAGACCAAAGGTAGACCCAGCGAGAAGGCAGAAGAGACATCATGTAAAGCCCGGAGGTAAAAAAGACTGGTATATTCAAGGGGGAGCAAGAGACAGAAGGGAGACTAGTGGTATAGATTTTTCTATTTTGGTGACCAGATAGTTGATGATGTCATTTTCTAGGCTAGGTAATGCAGAAGAAGGAAGATAATTCGAACTTGGGATGTGTTGAATTTGAGTTGCCTATGCACATCCAAGTTCAGCGAGCAGTTGCATACACAAGTTGGCAACTTAGGAGAGAGGTATGGATTTATTAGTCCTTATGGAAATAACTCCAAGAATCTAAAAAATTAGGTACCATCAGCTAAACGCCATTAGATGAACCTGGGGAAATAGGCCAAGATCACCCACTGAAAATGTATATAGAGTGAAATGAAAGGGGATTCTGGGCCATTCTGAGCAGAGGAAGACCAAGAAAAGAACAACTAGAGAAGTAAAAGAGATAAATAATTTTAAATAGCAATGATTCAGGCACCTAGCTAGCTCAGTCGGTAGAGCATGAGACTCTTAAGTAGCAATGATTCAGTGTCCTAAAAGATCAAATAAAGCATGGATTGGAAAATGTCATTGAACTGTGCAACCAGAAGAAAATCCGTGACCGTATTATAGTAATGGTTTAGAGCGTAGGCTGTGGAGCTACACTTCGTGTGTTTGAATCCTAACTCTGCCACTTACTGGCTGTGTGGCCTTGACTAAGTTACTTACCCTCTCAGTGCTTCTATTTCCTCATCTGTAAAATGAGGTTTTCAATGATACCTGCCTCATAGGGCTGTCATGAGCAGTAAATGAGTTAATACCGCTTCAAACAGTGCGTGGTACAGAACAGGTGCTTGATGAATGTTGCTGTACTGTTGCCGTTACGATTATTAGTGAAAGCAGTTTTCTTCAGGCAGGAGAATGGGATGAAAGCTGAATTGCAGCCAGTTGAAGAATAAGAGGTGAAGAAGAGGTGGTAGTAAGTGTAAGTTCCTTTCAAAAAGTTTGGCTAGGGCGCCTGGGTGGCTCAGTTGGTTAAGCGACTGCCTTTGGCTCAGGTCATGATCCTGGAGTCCCGGGATCGAGTCCCGCATCGGGCTCCCTGCTCGGCGGGGAGTCTGCTTCTCCCTCTGACCCTCCCCCCTCTCATGTGCTCTCTGTCTCTCTCATTCTCTCTGTCTCAAATAAATAAATAAAATCTTTAAAAAAAAAAAAAAGTTTGGCTATTAAGGGGGAAATAGAGGATTGGCAACTAGAGGTAAACTCAAGGCTAAGGACAGACTGTCTTAGGAAGGAGACTTGAAACTGAAGGAAAAGAACGAGCAAAGAAGGAAAGATTGAAGGTAAAAGAGAGAGGACAGGTGATGGAACAAGATTCTGAAGGAAGTAGAAAGGAAGTAAGATCAAAGCACAAGTAGAGAAGTCTTAGCTTTAGATACTGTCTTGTTCGAGGGGGACAAGTTGGGAGGATGATTGCAGATGTTAATATAGTAGAAGGGAGTATATGTCTAATAACTTCTGTAATTAGGGCATTAGCTAAGGAGAACAGGATTGGGAAAATGAATTAAAAATTTTCTGCTGGGTGGGGATGGTGCGGCACCTGGTGGCTCAGTTGGGTAAGTGTCCAACTCTTGATTTCAGCTCAGGTCATGATCTCAGGGTTGTGAGATCAGCGGGGAGTCTGCTTGAGGTTCTGTCTCTTCTTCTCCTTCTGCCCCTCCCCACCCTGCACTCATGTGCTCTCTCTCTCAAACAAAAAAAAATTTAAAGATTTAATTTATTTATTTGAGAGAAAGAGCACGAGCAGGGGTGGGGGAAGAAGAGCAGAGGGGGGAAGGAGAAGCAGACTCCCCGCTGAGCAGGGAACACAACATGGGGCTGGATCCAGGACCCCAAGATCACAAGCTGAGAGAGAGCACACAAGCAGGGAGAGCTGCAGAGGGCGAGGGAGAAGCAGGCTCCCTGCTGAGCAGGGAACCCAAAGTGGGGCTCAACCCCAGGACCCCAGGTTCATGACCTGAGCTGAAGTCAGATGCTTAACTGACTGAGTCACCCAGGCACCCCTAAAATAAATAATCTTTTTTTTTTTTTTAAGATTTATCTACGGAGGGGAGTGGGAAGAGATGGCTGACCAAGGGCAAGAAAAGGATTCCTCAGTAGTGTCATAAGCTCTGTTAAGACTAGAGACCATAAATCTGTAATGGCACTAATATCCCAATGCATTCTAGCTGTTTTAGGAGCTCAGGCATGGGCACAGGGAAGATGGAGTGTTAGACTGATCCAAGATTGGGAGTTTTCAGGATCAGCGCTAAAGAAGGAGGAGAGTCGGGACAGAGTCCTAATGAGAGAAGTTGAAGCAAGCAAGCTTGGAGTTCAGGCTCAGTGAAGAAGGAAATGGAAGGTGGGAGAAAGCAAAAGACTATAGAGACAGAGGTCACAAAGAGCTCTAAAATGGTGTAGGGGAAACACAGGAGCAGGAGGGCCGGAATATTGGAAATTTCGGTTTCAAAGCTAACAAAATTCCTGAATGGCAGCTTTGGTGTTAGGCCAGAGTGGATAATGCTAAAGTGGATTCCATCCTAGAAATAGGAAGTGAAAACAAAACTAGTTTTATCCTGCGATTCCAGACTTACTGGCTTATTCTTCAGCATTGCGTTCTCTCATTTATCCCAAATATCAACAGCATTTATTTTAAATACTCATTTTCAACATTCTAAAATAATTGAAAACAGTTGGTAATTAGAATACAACTGATGATCTAAAACTCACATATCTGCCTTTAAAATACTCATTCGTTATAAATTCAGCTCATTTATTAGATGCCTTATGTGTTTATTGGCAAAAATGAATAAGACATAAGCTCATAAGACCTAAAGAGCTTATTATGACCTAAGGGGCAAATGTATATATATAACTGTATATACTGATGTATATAGTGGAAAGTGTTACCTTGTATTTATACTTTTCCAGCAGATTTACTTTCCTAATATTTTTCATTTCTTTTTTTTTAATTTTTTATTGTTATGTTAATCACCTTACATTACATCATTAGTTTTTGATGTACTGTTCCATGATTCATTGTGTATAACACCCAGTGCTCCATGCAGAGCATGCCCTCTTTAATACCCATCACCAGGCTAAACCATCCTCCCACCCCCCTCCCCTACTTTCCTAATATTTTTTTGCCAAAGTTTTTACTAAAAGGGCTTTGTTAGAGTTCACACTACTTTGAGTAAATAGTCAAAAAATATTATTTGCAAATATTATTTTAATATTACCGTCGCCCAGCAATAGAGATGATTCTGGAAGCATATGGGATAGGAGGAAAATCAATAGACTTTTATACATTTATTATGGAAGATCTACATATTGATAATTTAATTTTAAATTTAATATTGATAATTAAAATTTGGCTTATTTAAGTTGTATGTAATGGTTGATGTTTTCTGTGATATTTCCTCTTGCAGTGCTATTTTATCTTTATCACCTGACATTAAGGTGCTTTGATGTTTTTAGGGATTTTGTCCATAGAACAGCTCATCAGCCGGGTAGGTGTGATTGGTGTGACTCTCATGGCTCTTCTTTCTGGATTTGGTGCTGTCAACTGCCCATACACTTACATGTCCTACTTCCTCAGGTAAAAAGAACTTTGTCTCTTTTTTTTCCTATTACTTCATGAATACGTATGTCCTATCATGCCATCATCAATACTTAAATATTAGATCTGTGACACTGCCTTTTTATTCTTTCCATCTGTCCTTATGGGCATTGTCCTAGGAATCTCTCCAAATAATAAGTCTTATCACTTATATTGTTTGCCCTTTGTTTGTCCTACATTCACTTATTTTTAAAATGGTTATTTTGGGGCGCCTGAGTGGCTCAGTTCGTTGAGCATCCAGCTCTTAATTTCGGTTCAGGTCATGATCTCAGGGTCATGAGATTGAGCTCTGTGTTTAGCGGGGAGTCTGCTTGATTGAGATCATCCCTCTCCCTCTTCCTCTTCTGCTTCCCCCACTCACAGGCATGCACACACTCACTCTATCTCCCTAAAATAAATAAATCTTTTTAAAAAATTATTATTTCAGTCAAATTCTCTTTACTTCCTCTTATACTTTTTAAAGGCACATTACTCATGGATAGCAATGTGAGCTAATCCCCACTTGAGTAAATCAGTTCCTCCTAGAAGTAGAATGGTAGAAGACAATGCCAAGTTGGAAGAGTGCTTACATGTACATCAAAAATGTCACTGGATCAAAGCTAAGAAAGACTAAAAGAGAGCCAGTTACCTTCCACTGCCCTGAGACTGCAAAACTTTTAGCTATAAAAAATGATAGCAAAAGCATTTTTGCTTTTTATAGTCATTTTAATATTCTCTAGGAAAAGGTCCCTGAATTACTGGGTAACAACTAAGGTTTATGTGTTTCTACAGCTGCCTTATATTTATTATGCCCAAGGATGGGATCCCGAAACATTGCTAACAGTTTGTGCTTATTATAGAAATGTGACTGATGCAGATATCCTAGCCCTGGAACGGCGACTGCTTCAAACCATGGATATGATCATCAGCAAAAAGAAAAGGTAAAATATCAGCACATTAAAAAGCTTGTACTCTTAGAATTTCTCGACAAGAAAACGTGACTATGAATTGGGGCTAACAGGGAATTTCATCTTATTCATTTTTATTATAAATTAAGGTACCATCAAAGACTTAGTATCTAGTCTTGCATGAGAGAAATTCTCAAATTCCACTTATTTCCTGACTTTAGATAAATTCTCTTGAGATAAACTGTTAGTGTAACATTTACATTAGAAGATATTCTGCATTGGTTGCTTTAAAAGTCTGTTGTCCTACATTTTTATAAACTTTCACATGCCTGATTTCAATCTTTTCAACTTCCTTTTCTCCAACTACTTTGAAAAATCCTTCAAGTCTTCTAGCAGTTGTCATTTTTATCATTTAAGACGTACTTATACAATGTATGCTTTTAAAGTGGCATTTCTAGGGGCGCCTGGGTGGCTCAGTCATTAAGCGTCTGCCTTCGGCTCAGGTCATGATCCCAGGGTCCTGGGATCAAGCCCCGCATCGGGCTCCCTTCTCAGCGGGAAGCCTGCTTCTCCCTCTCCCACTCCCCCTGCTTGTGTTCCCTCTCTCACTGTGACTCCCTCTGTCAAATGAATAAATAAAATCTTTAAAAAATAAATAAATAAATAAAGTGGCATTTCTAGAAATCTATATCACAGTGGGTTACAGCCTAGGTTGTAAACTCAGACTGTCTGAATATGAATCCTTGGTTCATAATTCACAGTGTGGCTGGAGGCGTTACTTTATGTCTTGATTTCCTCATCTGTAAAATGGAAATAGTGATTGACATGTAGAACTCTTAGAACGGTGAACCATACAGAGCTAAGGAATACTACTGAACTTACTAATAGTCTCTGGAGGACAGTCAATAGGTTTTAGTGCTTTGTCTTCATTTATTCATTCATATATTTTCATTCTCTTAATAATTATAGGAAGCCTAGTTTATGCTAGGTACTGCACTAAATGCTGAACTCATAGAGATAGAATGAGGAACAAGATAAGTTTACTGGGGTGCCTGAGTGGCTCAGTGGGTTACGCGTCTGTCTTCGGTTCAGGTCATGATTCCAGGGTTCTGGGATCGAGCCCTGAATCTTCAGGCTCCCCTGCTTGGCAGGGAGTCTGCTTCTCCCTCTGCACCCTCCCCCACCCCCTTGTGTTCTGTCTTGTGCAGGCTCCCTCTCTCTCTCTCTCTGTATCAAATAAATAAAATCTTAAAAAAAGATAGTAAGTTACTGTCTTCATGAAGTTCATTAGTCTACTGTCTTTTTTAAAGTTCTATTACCCAAATAAAAACAGTGACATAGAGGTTTTAAATTGCATGAAGGTTTCTGCATTTCATATTTTGTCTTTCAACATTTTTCTATAGTAAGACCCATAGTCACGTCAAAGAAGGCTTAATATAAGAGATAACAATAGACTTTAGAATGATAAAGAGGGCCAGATTTACCAGATCATTATTTGTCTCCTTTTCTGTACATCTGTACTAGGGTATTGATAGTAGATACACATGTTGTATATACATTTATTCTTTGCATTTTGTTCACATTCATTCTGTACAGTTTATTTTACATGAAAATGTGAACGTAGATTTAAAAAACAACAGTAAAATCAACATTATTCAATATTGAAAGATAATTATAAAGGAATAATACTATTTTGGGTCCCGTGATTATTCTCCCATTTACTATATTTCTTTCATTCATATGGAGAGATGAATGTAAAGTTAGGACCCATGTCAAGTGTGGATGTACATTTTTTTAAGATTTTATTTGTTTGAGAGAGAGAGCGTGTGCGTGTGCACAAGCAGGGGGGAGGGGCAGAGGAGAGGGAGAAGCAGGCTCCCTGCTGAGCAGAGAGCCCCATGTGGCTCCATCTCAGGACCCTGAGATCATAACCTGAACTGAAGGCACGCTTAACCAACTGAGCCACCCAGGCGCCCTCCATACTGTTTTCCACAGTCAACACACCAGTTTACATTCCCACCCACAGTACATGAAGGTTTCCTTTTCTTCCACATCCTTGCCAATACTTGTTATTCTTGTCTTTTTTTTATTGTATCCATTCTGACTGGCATGAGGTGATATCTCATTGTGGTTTTGATTTGCATTTACCTGATTAGTGATATTGAGCATCTTCTCATGTATCTGTTAGCCATCTGTATGTCTTTTTTAGAAAAATGTCTATTCAGGTCCTCTGCCCACTTTTAATCAAATTGTCTTTTTGATATTGAGTTGAATAATATATTTTTATATTATTGCAAATATCTTCTGCCATTCAGTAGGTTGTCTTTTTGTTTTATTGGTTTCCTTCGCTGTGCAAAGGCTTTCTATTTTGATGTTGCCCCAGTAGTTTATTCTTGCTTTTGTTTCCCTCAACAGAGGAGACATATCCAGAAAAATATTTCTAAAGTTAATGTCCAAGAGATTACCACTGGTGTTTTCTTCTAGGAGTTTTATGGTTTCAGGTCTCACATTTAGGTCTTAATCCATTTTGAGTTTATTTTTACATATAGTGTGAAAAAGTCATCCAGCTGCATTCTTTGCATGTAGCTGTCAAGTTTTCCCAACACCGTTTATTGAAGAGACTGTCTTTTCCCTTTGTATATTCTTTCTTCCTTTGTTACAGATTGAGTATATAAGTGTGAGTTTGTTTCTGTGCTTTTATTCTGTTCCGTTGATCCATGTTGTTTTTGATTACTATAGCTTTGTAGTATATCTTGAACTCCAGGATTGTGATACCTCCAGTTTTATTCTTCTTTCTCAAGATTGATTTGGGGTCTTTTATGGTTCCATACAAATTTTAGTATAATTTGTTCTAGTGCCATGAAAAAGGCTGTTGGTATTTTGACAGGGATTGCATTGAATCTGTAGATTGCTTTGGCTGGTATGGACATTTTAATACTATAAATTCTTCCAATCAATGAACATGGAATATCTTTCCATTTGTTTGTCTTCTTCAATGTCTTTTATCAGTATTTTATAGGTTTCAGAGTACAGGTCTTTTACTGCCTAGGTATTTTATTATTTTTGGTGCAATTGTAAATGGGACTGTTTTTTTTTTCTGCAAATAGTTTTACTTCTCTCCTATGATTTGGATGCCTTTTATTTTTCTTGTCAGATTGTTGCAGCTAGGACTTACAGTACTATGTTGAGTAAAAGTAGTAAGAGTGGGCATCCTTGTTTTCTTCCTGATCTTAGAGGAAAAGCTCTCTCACCATTGAGTATGAGATTAGCTGTGGGTTTTTCATATAGGTCCTTTTTTATGTTGAGATATGTTCCTTCTGAACCCACTTTGTTGAGCGTTCTTATGATCAAATGTTGAATTTTGTCAAATGCTTTTCTTTTGGGATGAATATATGGTTTTTATCCTTTGTTTTATTGATGAGATGTATCATGTTGTTTTCATTTATACTAAACCGCCCTTGCATCCCTGGAGTAAATCCCATTTGATTGTGGTAAATGATCCTTTTAATAGAGTGTTGAATTGAGTTTGCTAATATTTTGTTGAGTATTTTTGCGTCTATGTTCATCAGGGGTATTGACCTGTAGTTTTCTTTTTTTGTAGTGTCTTTGGTTGATTTTGGTATCAGGGTAATGCTGGTTTCAGAGAGTGAATTTCTTCCTCTTCTATTTTTTGGACAGTTTGAGGAGAATAGGTATTAACTCTTCTTGGAATGTTTGGTAGAATTCACCTGTGATTCCATCTGGTCTTAGACTTTTGCTTATTGGGAGTTTACTGATTCACTTTTGTTGCTAGTAGTTGGTCTGTTCACATTTTCTACTTCTTCCTGATTCGGTTTTAGAAGACTGTATGTTTCTAGGAATTTATCCATTTCTTCTAGGTTGTCCAGTTTGTTGGCATGTATTTTTTTGTAGTAGTCTCTTATAATTCTTTGTATTTCTGTGGTGTCAGTTGTTGTTTCTTCTCTTTTATTTCTGGTTTTATTAATTTGGGTCCTGTCTCTCTCTCTCTTTTTTTTTTCTATGATGAATCTGACTAAAGGTTTATCAATTTTGTTACCTTTTCAAAGAACCAACTCTTGGTTCATTGATCTTTCTATTTTCTTTTTTTAGAATCTATTTCATTTATTTCTGCCTGGTCTTTATTATTTCCTTCCTTCTACTGAGCTTGGGCTTTGTTCTTTTTCTAGTTCATTTAGGTATAAGGTTAAAGTGTTTGAGATTTTTCTTATTTCTTGAGATAGGCCTGTATTGCTATAAATGTCCCTCTTAGAACTGCTTTTGTTGCATCCAGAAGATTTTGGATGATTGTTTTTCTGCTTTCATTTGTCTCTATTTTTTATTTCCTCTCTGATTTTTTCATTGACCTATTGGTTGGTTAGGAGCATATTTAGCCTCCATGTGTTTGTGTTTTTTCCAGTTGCTTTCTCGTGATGATATCTTGTTTATACCACTGCAGTCAGAAAAGATGCATGATATAATTTCAGTCTTTTTTAAATTTATTGAGACTTGTTTTGTGGCACACATGTGATCTGTCCTGGAGAATGTTCCATGTCCACTTGAAAAGAATGTGTATTCAGCTCTTTTGGGGTGGAATGTTCTGTATGTATCTATTAAGTCCATCTGGTCTAGTTCAGAGAAGCTGTTTCATTATTGATTATTTTGGCCCGGATATTCTATTCATTGATGTAAGTGGGGTATTAAAGTTCTCTACTGTTATTGTATTACTGACAGTTTTCCCATTTATGTCTGTTAACATTTGTGTTATGTATTTAGATGCTTCAATGTTGTGTGCAAAGATATTTACAGTTGTTATATCCTCTTGTTGGATTGATTTCTTTATAATTATATAATGCCCTTCTGTGTGTCTTGTTAAAGTCTCTGTTATAGAGTCTGCTTTGATAAGTACTGCTACCCTGGCTTCCCCCCAACCCCCACTTTCATTTGCATGGTATATGTATTCCAGCCCTTCACTTTCAGTCTGTTTGTGTCTTTGGGTCAGAAGTGAGCCTCTTGTAGGTAGCATACATAGATGG